CTCACTTTCGGATCGGCGCTGCGCTCCCGTCGGTCAGAGTGGAGCTCCCGCCCCTGGGGCGGGAGCTGGGCCCGCGCGGGCCACTCCTCTGGACCCGAGTCCCGTTTCATCGATGTCGTCCCTGGCTTTTCCCCCTCCTCCACCCTCCCCTGGTCCTCCTGCTCCTCCCACTCCTTCCACTCCAGCTCCCGCTTCTGCTGTTCGGCCTCGTCCTCATCCTTCCTCCTCCTTTTCCTCCTCACCCGCCACCGCCACCGCCGCCTCCTCCTCCTCTTTACGCAGCTCCCCTCTTCCGGCTGCGCAAAACACGATGGGATATGTTTGGGAATTCCAGGTCGGCTTTTGACACGCGTCCGCGAATCGAAAAACAATCAGCTGACTAGGAAGGGATTGGAGGGAGAGATAGGATACCATGTGGCGCGAGCGCACCTAGCTCGTCTCCTCACCTCGCCCGCCTCCTCCTCCTCCTCCTCCACGTCCTTCTTGCCCCTCCCCTCTGTCTCCCTCCTCCTCCCTTTGCCCCTGCCTGTCCTCCTCAACGCCCTTCTTGTCCTCCTTGCCCTCCGCCCATTCCTGTCCTGCTCGACGCCCTTCCGACCCTGCCTCTGCCCCTCCCTGTCCTCCTCGACGCCCCTTCCTGTCCTCCTTGGCCCTCCACGACGCTCGCCCTCGACACCTTCGCCCTCGCCGACATTGCCCCTTGCTCTCGCCCGGCATCACGCCGCCCGGCGGCTGTCCCTCCCCCCCCCCCGGAAGAGCAGGGGGAGAAGGAGGAGGAGGAGGAGGAGGAGGAGGAGGAGGAGGAGGAATAGGAGGAGAAGGAGGAGGAGGGGGGTGGAGGAAGGAGGGAAAAGGGAGGAGGGAGGAGGAGGGGGAAGGAGGAAAGAGGGAGGAGGGAGGAGGGAGGAGGGAGGAAGGAGGAGGAGGAAGGAAGGAGGGAGGATGGGGGAGGAGAGGAGGAGGAGGATGAGGAGCAGGAGGAGCAGGAGGAGGAGGAGCAGGAGGAGGAGGAGGAGGAGGAGGAGGAGGAGGAGGAGCCCCGCGCCCCGCCCGATCGGCCAAGAGCACGCACGTGGCCTCGATGTCCTCCTGCCCGGTCATGAAGATCAGTATGTCGCCCGCGTCCTGCCCGACGTGGATGGCCAGCGCCTGGCTTCCCTCCTCCGCACTCTCCTCCTCCTCCTCCTCCTCCCCCTCCTCCCCCTCCTCCTCCTCCTCCTCCTCCTGCTCCTCTCCTCCTCCTCCTCCCCTCCTCCTCCCCTCTCCTCCTTCTCCTCCCCTCCCCCCCCTCCTCCTCCTCCTCCTCCTCCTCCCACCTGCCCCCCTCCCTCCCCGCCTCCTCCCCCTCCCCTCCTCCTCCTCCCCCTCCCCCTCCCCCCCCTCCTCCTCCTCCTCCTCCTCCTCCTCCTCCTCCTCCTCCTCCTCCTCCTCCTCTCCTCCTCCTCCGCCCCCACATCCTCCCACCTCATCCCCGTCCTCCTCCTCCTCCTCCTCCTCCTCCTCCTCCTCCTCCTCCTCCTCCTCCTGCTCCTCCTCCTCCTCCTCCTCACCCTTCTCTTCCAGCTCCTCCTGCGTACGAGCCGGCCGATCTGCGGGTCATCGCGCGATCCTGTGTCCAGAACTCTGACGATGCGCTGCTTCCCGCGACGCCGTCGACCCCTCCCCTGGGGCAGCACTTGCGAGGATGTCCCCAGCGAGGGCGCTGGCTTTGGGATCCTGCGCCGAATGCCGCCAGATTCGCCTGATCCGCGGGACACGGCGCAGGAAGCTGAACTGTTGGCCTCACTTCCTCGCGCGCTGGGGGTCACGATGACGCGGGCTCAAAATCAACTATCTCTCAAACGAGCGGACCCTGCAAGCCCAGGGTCATGCAAAAAGAGTTGGGGGCCCACCGATGGAGCTGCCGCAGCCATTGGATGGGATGTTGAGAAGCAGCCCTGTGGGCACGACACAGCAGACAGAGCTTAGAGCAAAGTTGGAGCCCCCTGGCCGCACACCCCACCCCCTGACCGAGACCCCCGGCGGCACGATGCTCCACGACGTGGCCCCCCCGAGGAGGCCTCAGCGCACTCCCCGGGACCAGCTCGCCCTCCGGAGCTGATGTCTGACAGCCCTGGGGCCTGGCGAGGGCCCTCGAGGTGGCAGTTTTTGTTCCTTTTCCGGGCAGCGCTCGTACCCTGGCCGGGGGGAGCACCCGGCCGGGGAGAGTCGCGGTAACGGCGGCCGCGGCGTGAAGCCGCCCGGGTGCGTCCGCGCGACCGGCGCCTCAATCGCCCGTGTGCACCACAAAATGTAGGGGGGGGGCTCCAGGCCCCACCCCCCCAATACGATCGATAGCGTTACCTGGGGCGGGGGGGGGGGCCAAGGTACCTTACCTTATGCTGCTCCCATCGTACTTAAGGACCACATCCCAGAAATGATTTCGAGCACCTGGAAAAGTGTCGAAAGAGTGTCGAAACCGTGTCGGGCGAGTGTCTCCCAGGGCCCGACACGGGAGAACCCTCGAGTTTCGGGTGCTGTCCGGGTGCTCGAGATTCTCTCTGGCGATCAAGGCTAAAAGTAGGTTGGAGAACATCATAGACCTACCTTACCCTGGGGAGGGGAGAACAACAAAAAAAACGCCCACCAGAGGCGAGGCCGCCGACAGCCAATAGCCAGCACTGCCCGCGCGCGCTGCTGTGCACGGCGCGAGGGGACCTGGGCACGTCGTGGCTGGGGACGCCCGCGGCGGCCGCCACGCGAGGCCGCGGACAAGATGGCCCAGGGGCACACACACGCACACACACACACACCTAGACAGGCACCACTCCCAGCATCCCAGCCTTCGCCACCTCTGTCCACCTCTCCTTGATCTTCTTGCCCCCCTCCTTCCCTCCACAGTCTCTCCTCTTCCACCCGAGAGCAGCCCAGAAAAAAATCCGACACGCCTTGAAGATGTCAAAACGCGGACCCCAAAGCTCTCGACCCATTCCCGAGGGACCCGCATTTCATCCTGGGTCGTTTGTTGACGGTCCTGGGGCCCGGTGATGCCCCCCAGATCCGGGAAACTATGAAGAACCTTCATCCCGACTTTCTAGAGACGCAAAATGTATGGAAACGTTTCTTAATTAGTTTGCTTTTCGAGGCTGTCTTAGTTAACCCACGCGCGTGCCGCTCGCATCACGAGACAACTGAATGGAGATGGCGAAGCAGGTCCGCAGCCCCAATCGAAAGGGGTCAAGGCCGATGCTGCACAGAGCAACGCTGTACCGCCCAGTCCGAAACATTAACCCGTATATTCATGTTTGCATTTCTCACTTAGCCTCACCATCGCGCTCAGCGCACGTAGCTTGTCGTCCTTAGCCTTGCTGCGGGCCCGTGCGCGCCGAGGGGTGCTCCGGCGCTTGCTGGGCCGGATGGTGCCATCGGCATAGGTTGGCCGGGCCTCCGACGACTGTTTTCTCTGGACGGGGCTCGACAGCTACTTCCCTCCGTGGGGGTTGGCACGCTCAGGAAGGACAAAACATGTGTGCGCGTGTGTGTGTGTGTGTGTGTGTGTGTGTGTGTGTGTGTGTGTGTGTGTGTGCGTGCGAATGTGAATGCGAATGCGAATGTGAATGTGAACGTGAATGTGGCTGTGAAAGTGGATGCGACTGCGAATGCGACTGCGAACGCGAATGCGACCGTGAACGTGCATGCGAATGTGCGCGTGCGCGTGTGCGTGTGCGCGTGTGCGTGAGCGAGCGCGAATGTGAATGCGAGTGTGGATGTGAATGTGACTGAGACTGTGAAAGTTAAGGTGAATGCGAAGGTGAACGCGAATGTCTGTGTGTGTGCCAGCGGCCGGACCCCGGGGCCCATCTCGGCACCGCGGGCCCCCGCCGGCGAGGGAGGGGGCGCGCGCCTGCTGCACCGCGGCGTCCACGTAGTCCTGGGCGGCGACGCCGACGACGACGACGACGTCGACGCCGCCGACGACGACGACGGTGACGACGACGACGAGGGCGAGGATGGCGACGACGAGGACGAGGACGATCACGATGACGACGACGATGACGACGATGACGACGACGACGGCGGCGGCGACGATGACGACGATGACGACGGCGACGACGGCGGCGGCGGCGGCGACGGCGGCGACGACGACGACGGCGGCAGCGGCGGCGGCGACCACGTAAACCCAGTACTACGTCTTCAGACCCCCCCCCCCGCATAGGGTACAGCTAATTCCCAACCGTCCTGTGGTGTTGGGCCTCGTTTTGAAGAGACAGCGCCCCGCGTCTCCTCTCCTCCCCTCTCCTCTCCTCCCATCTCCTCTCCTCTCCCCTTCTCTCCTCTCCTCTCTTCCCCTCCCATCTCCTCCCCTCCTCCTCTCCTCCTCTCCTCCCTCTTCTCCTCTCCTCTCTCTCCTCTCCTCCTCCTCCTCCCCCTCCTCCTCCCCCTCCTCCTCCTCCTCCCCTTCTCTCCTCTCCTCTCCTCTCCTCTCCTCTCCTCCCATCTCCTCTCCTCTCCTCTCTAGGCCTCCGAGGTCTGGCCCCGTGGGCCACCAAGACACCGGAGGCCACGGTGGGGCGAATCGTCCCAGGGGGGAGCAGCACATTGATCCAGGGGCGGGGATGGTCCATGTCTTCGGCGAGGCTCTCCAGCGTGCCCGCCCCTGGGCTATTCACCCCACTCGTCGCCTCCGAACAAAAAGGCCCAGGGTGACACCACGCACCGGGGAAGGGGTCGAGAGGTCCGTCGAACAACCACGTCGGCATAAACATAGCACTTCGGAGGTCCGCGTGGATGTCTTGGATCTGCGCTGTGCCCCCCCCCCCCCCCTCCCTGGCGCGCGCAGCTCGCAAGGGGCATCGCCACAGGCACCCCCAGGAGGGCCCAGTGCCGCACCCAAAGAACTCCGCGCGGGCTTCCGCAAGTTTCTGCCAGAGTGAGAGGGCCGAAGGATCCTACACCATCTCTACGCGCGTGGGTGAAGTGGGATTTTTGGGGCCTAGATTCTCGGGGATCTTCTGACCGGG